CCCCAAAACCCCAAAACCCCAAAACCCCATGAAGTAAAATTAAAGTTTCAAAGCTTGAATCAAAGTAAGTTATATTAGAAATTTTATTTCAGTATTTCAGTGATTAAATTTTGTGAAAGTCACTAATATTCCAAGAGCAAATAGAAATAGCCCATCAAAGCAGGCTACATATAAAAATGGATACGAAGGCCCGAAATCGTTATATAAGTATGCCCCTACTTTTGTAAAACTCAATACTCCAAATGTTCCTATTAATTAATAAGTTCCTTACAACGAGCCTCTAATATCCTTAGGTAAATTCTTTGCAAATACAGCATCGGTTAATAAATTCTATGCTCCATGTGAAATTACCATCGTGATATAAACTAGAGTTGTTGCGATCGAATTAGGGTTAGTCAACTAAAAGAAGCAAGTGATTGATGATATTTTGAGTACTGTGAAAAATCCCATCAAGTATTTGTACTTATATTTATCAGCAATATAACCCAAGGGAATAATTAAAGTTAAATTAGTCAAAGTAGAGTAGGTACTGTAATTTTGCACTATTTGCTAGGCTTGCTGAGAGTCTTTTATATAATCAGTTCCAATGAAACTTGATGTCCACAAAGTCATGTAGTTTGACAGCATAATAATATTTATCCTCACGATAAAGTTACCAAGAAAACACATTGGAATAATACTTTTATGAAAACATTGCCAAATTAAGTGCTTAGTAAGCTTTTTAGTTTTAGTAATTACTGATTCATCTTCATAAACCTTTGTAAGCTCTACACTTTCAAATGAAATTTTCTATTTTTACTCTATTGATGACTATCCTCTGATAGAATGGAAGTGAGGTTCTTTTACAATGAACCAGAGAATAATAGCAATTACTACAAATAATGTTCCCACTATATAAAATTATTATCCCACTATTAGTCCAGAAATTAATGGTAATATAACAAAGTAATTCAACAAATCCCCAAATATTGAACCAAAAGTTTGTAATGCACTAGCTTTTCCTCTTGAATCATTTTTAACGTAGTCATTTATTAATGGATGCGAAGTTGATCCAATAGTAGTTATTGTAAAGATAGATCTAATTATATAAACAAAAGGATAAACATTTGGCGCTCCTTAAGGTACTAGAACTAATACTAACCATGCTCCTAAAACGCTGAATGTAATCGTTTTTCTTCTTCCATAGATATCATAAATATATCCATAGGCTATAACTGCTACCATTTAAGGAAACATCGAATAAAAAATAAGGTCGCTGCTAATAGTTCCTATATCCTCTTACGAGATATTGTAGTATAGTGGATCTCTCAAAAGGAATATGATTTGAACTGTAAAGAAAAATACCACAATTGTAAGGTGACCTTGAATTAATGGAATAGCCAGGACATTAACAATGCTGTATTTGTTTTTAATACGTATTCCAAGGAATTTTTTCTCATTAGCAGAAACGTTGTCAATATCTTCAATCAATTGATAGGTCAGATCAGTGGCTTTGTCCTCTATATTCATTTTTTAAAATTGTTTTATTTGTGATTTGGAATACATTATAATTGCTGAAAGTTAGATTTAATTTAATTCTAGCATTTACAAATAATTTTGAATGTAGGGGTTTTGGGGTTTTGGGGTT